ATTTCTTCAATGTTTCAGACTCCAACAAAGCGATACCCCCGATATCGGTAAGAGACCCTTTTTTATTTAAAAAATATATTTTTCGAAGTAGGCAGCATTGGCAAGAGGTTTCAGCGCTTGCCTTGTAATCCGGACGTCTAGCGTTGTAGTCCTCAACTCTGTTATTAGCTAAGTCCCAAGTTCAACCGTCCTCGGTCATGCTTTGAAAATACTGAACTGGTCAGACTCCTGCCAGTTGTTGTTCATGCTGCGTTCTTTCGAGAGATTTCTTTACTCTGTTTGAGTGAGCATTGCATGGAACACAGCCAGCCAGTCAGCCAGTCAGTCAGTCAGTAGGTTTTTAGGGTAATTGGTTTCTGTGATATGTTATTTATTAGTCTCTCTATTTACTGTTTTAAGAACCGTTGAGGTATGCAGCCTCAGAAAAACCAATTAGCTTCATATTCTTATCGATGTGCTCGTAGGGTTCGTGATCTAGACCTCACCTTACTGCATCCTGGTACATCACGCTGATTGGTTCACAAGTAACAGAAGAAACGATGTCCCGGATGATGAAGACTTCACTGAAAATAGAAATAATGTTAGTTAGAAAACTGAAAGAATTCATTAGGTCCTAGTCGTAAGAATATTATAATAACAGAAAGTTTATAAGATATGTTTTATATTTCTTCATTCAAACGTCATTTTATTAGCCTTTTTTGTTTTTTGTTTTACTAGTTGAATCTAATTTTTTAAATCCCAGATAATCGTAGATGATATGTTACTGTTTAATTTGAGTCCCTATATCCTATCATGTGTCGAAACTTGTAGAATTGCTCGTTCATTTGTCGCAACTGACGTTTGTAAGTGTTTAATTAAGGGCGCCTTTTTCTTATTTTTTTAAACGTAATAAAAAAATCGTTACGTTTGATTGATTTTTGTATGGTTTCTGTAATCGATAGCTTTTTAATAAGATCTGGATTAGCCCCATACCTGAAGGGCCACGGTTTTTCTGCTGGGGTGTCCTTCTATCTACCTTCTGAAGAACGACTAAGCCCGAAAAGTTTAGATTACCAGCGAATATTTGACACTTTTAAGCGCCTTTTGAGCCTTATGTCTAATTTATCGGCAGCGTCACGCATCTTATGAGTTTTTTGCTTATTCCTACTGAATTTGTTCTTCTATTAACCACTGGTTGAAGATGCTTAAAGACGCAAGAGATTCCTTTTGCAATTGTCGCTCAGGGTAAATCTTGTTACTAGGGAGTAAGGATTTTAAGAAGTCCACGCGACTTTTCTGGGAGTATCCCCCCCGGGTCCGTCTCAAACTAGTTTTAGATCATTTCTGGCTCCAGAAGTCCCAGGAAAATCTAAGAATAGCCAATCCAGTGACGCGAATTTTAATCGCGTGGGTAGCTTTAGCGGCTTCACGCGAATTTTCATCCACGCAACGCGCGTCGAGGTAACATTGACCGAGGGGGAACTGAATACAATATCGAAATATGACTGGAGAGGGATTATAATACCAGTTACCTTGGGAATAAGACCTAGACGGGAATAAACTTTCTTGCCCGTCACTTTCTTTTGAGAATGCTTAATGTTAAAACGAACCAAATGCAGCTTCATCTTATTTACGCCACTACTGAGTCGACAGGAAGAGTCGTCAAATTGACACTAAATCTGCGGCAGCGAGAAGCGTTACCGACCTTCTTGCGTTTACGTTAACTTCATGCTACATCCCTCCAGCCTTATGCTGTAAAATTTTGACATTTGCGCACAACGTCCGTCCAAGGACTGAGGAGAAACGCGGCCACATTATTCGACAACGACTTCTTACTCAGTCTGGTTTTGTAATGATTGTCATTGAAGATTCAAAAATCGCTCATGTTTTCTAAAAATGTTTCCTCTAGAATTGACACAAGTGAAGAAAAATGGCGTCGTTAGCTCCTTTCCGTGGACATTTAAGGAGCGCATTCAGTCTGAACGTACAACATCGTCTTACTTGTTTAAACCATATACCTCATTGTTACAAAAAAGAAAGAGTGTTATATGTTTGCCAAATTCAGTCTAAGTAAAGCTTGGAGATTTTTTGCATAATTAGATCCCCAGCACTACTAAAGACATCGAAGCACCCCGCACCTTCACCACGTATATACATTATATTCTTGTGTGTATATTATTCGAATCTCAACGTTACTCAACAGAATCGAAAAGCGCTTCACAGACTTAGTCACAGGCTTAGTGAGCCTATATTAAGGGTGGTAGGGGGGGGGGAGGGGGGAGTCAAGATCACGTTTCACGGAAAATGAATTGGTCCTTTCACAATAATAAATGATAAAATCCACATTTCGCGTTTCACTATAATAAATTGCAATAAAACATTTCGTAAAAGCATATTAAAAGTTTGTTGACGACGTTTCGACGTTTGGCTAATGTCATTATCACGTCAAAGAGTGCATGATAAAAAATGTTTAAATACTAAAAAGACAATAGGTGATAGAATGTCCTTTTAAACAAAGAGTTTTGCGCGAATGGAATCAGTCTGCGTTTTGAGACTAGGATTGCGCTCCTTGATGAAAAGCATCTCGTAGACAAGACAATCCAATTTTCCTTGGCACTTTTTCAGAAGGCGTAATTGGCTTTCTTTGAGGAGGCTTGTATCCCCATGGTCTGTCGAAAAGTGTTTACCGCTCACACAGTCTATATGTTCAACAATACGTTGGTGAAGGTGTCGAGCTACAAAGCCGACATAATCTGAATCACACAGATCACATGTAGAGGAGGAAACAACGCATTGTTGATTTACGATTGTTTACGACGTCTTGTTCCAATTTTCGGCTGATAAATACGGGTTGTAATGTAGTACCAATCTTGTGATTGAGATCACGCATTTGCCTTTTAACTGCGTTTGCTGTTTGATCTTTGAAGGGCAAACTCACTCGCACAACGTTGCTGTCTTCCTTTTGTGTTGTTTTTGTTTTTGTTTTGTTTTGTTTTTTTTCTCTGTCGTGCCAAATGAAAAGCTCTGAATGGTTTTGGTAATGATTGAATTAATCACGTTTCACGATAAAAAAAATGGCATTTTTTGACACGAACTTACGTAACATAATATTTGAAAAGTTACACCCAAAGCGCAGCCTTGTTAGACGTCTTTTTCATCCGTCTGCTTCTTGTTCTGCGCGCAGCAAAAAGAAATCCGAGCAAGAGCACGAAGAGGGATGACTGTCCTGTCACGGTCACGCAATTGCGGTCGAAAATAATGGAAGACACAACCAAAATCACGGTTCACGACGAATTAAATACTTCTTTCTCATTTCACAGAGAATTATTTTGGAAAATCACGGTTCACGAGAAAAAAACAAGCCGTTTCACATTTCACGAGAAAAAAATTAGGCCATTCACAAATCACGAAAATACCTTTACCACCCTCTATATCTTAAAACCTTGGGATCTGGAGAGAGTATCTGAAGCTTAAATCCCTAGAAATGCGTCCCCAGAGAGGCGTCCCAACGGCCAAAACAACCTCTCGACAACAGCCAATTTAATCTACAACTGACGAACGGTGTCACAAAACCCCATTTCGATGGTAAAACGGTTACAAAACTCAATGCGCGTCACTGGTCTCTGTTTTCTATTTGCATGGTTTCTGTTTTATTGATATATTTTGATTGTGTTACGTATTTATCTGCTGGAAAAACCATTCTTTAAGAATAAACATTTTGCCCCACTCCCCCTCCCCCGAAAAAAACAGATGACATATTACACCTCTACCTCCCCATAACGGTCACTCTCGTTTGTCCATGAGGTGGCCGTTGTGGAGACGTTCGACTGTATATATTCCCGTCGGGTTTAGGATCATATTCCCGTCCAACACGAAGAGAAAGCTTTTGTTTTGCCGCGAGAAAGAGTCTTGCGTGCTCAAAAAATAGAGCACAATCTTCACGCGATGGTTTTAGTTTTCCTGGCTGACAAGAGGTGTTGTCGATGATGTTGAGGGATATGCATGTCTCATCACTATATAAAAACACTGTCACGCTATTGCTATCATATCTGGCTTAGCGCCAGCTTAGTTCGTCCAAGATTTCAGGGAATTTACCCACACGCAGTGTGCTATCTTGCTTGTTTTTGTTTTTGTTCCATTACGACCGCCATGGAAAAGAAAGAAAAGCAAAGCGGAGGTCAACTTCTACCTGTTTTACTTGTTTGTATGTTGTTAGCCTGCGCGGGTCTTGTGTTTGCTGTTTACACTCACAAAGAACTCTGCTGGCTGAAAACCCAAATCCGTGAACATGAAAAACTCATTCAGACCTTACAACTCGGTAACAATGCTCGAGATATCCAGGTAAGAGGTTTCTTTTCCGGTTTGCACGCGGCTGTATTTTAGTGACAAGAGTTCGGTATTGCCACAGTCTAAAGAATTGTTTCTTTTTTAATGTGAGCTTTGTGTATGTTACAGGGGTCAGAGGAAGTGCGTATAAGTAGGAGCGCTCAAACTTCATGCACTTGCGTTGGTCAGTGGTCCTAATTTTTTGTATAGTAACAATTCCCTATTTTAAGAGAGAGTTTTCACGATGTCAATTAACAAATAGTCAGTCCCTAAGAGTGGATCTGCATCTCGTTCACTGGAACGTCTGTCTCCTGGGCTTACTTCTTCCCGGCATAGTCAATCGAATGTGGGAAATACAAGAAAGGCGTCCACACTTCTCACAATCCGAGAAAAGCTATTGTTGTCTGGCAAGTTACTGTTGTCTGGCAAACCTCGACATAACAATCCTCATTATAATAATCAATCAACGATCACCCGATCACCCTAACCAAAAAGACGAATGCTTGTGCAGTTTCCGACACACTCCCCCATATAGTTTCTATAAGAAAGCATAGACTATGTAAACGGAAACTCATGTCGCTTGAATCACAAATTCACAAAGCAGCGGTAATCGAGAGGCTTAATTGATTATTAATAGTTCTGCACAACCGTACTAGGTGCTTTGAAATTTCTACTTAAGTTCATGCTCATCAAACGATCGAATGACTACTGAGTTCAACAGTTCAGGTTCTACATCTCCTTCTCCTGGAAAGCGTCTTGAATCTTCAAACCTGCAGCAACTGCGGCGACTCGTCTTGAACGGGAGGGTCGTGGCTCAGGGTTTAGACCTGAGGTATCCTGTAACTGTAACGCGTTGTG